CCATCTATTGCAAGACAAACACTAAAAGCTTAAAGGCTATAGTAGTGGAAGATGCAGCCTCACGCCCTATTGAGCACTTATCGGCGATTCGATGCGGCGTCGCCGGACGTGCGCGAAATATAAATTTTGTTACCACACACTCTACAACGTTTGATGATAGTCTCGCAGTTTGTCACAGACGTTTATAATATATTGTACTATATAATTTTTAATAGCATGTGACTATAAAAACATGAAACATTATAATAATTAATTATAATTCTTTGAACTAAAATTGTACTCTGTTGACAAAATCACTGAAAATATATTTTACCCTTAAGTTTCTAATATTTTGTTCTAAATAATTTATTTATTAAAAAAATATCATGAAACTCAGTTCATTAAGGAACATCGAGACTTCAATTGGATTGAATTGAAGAGGCAATCAAATCGAATTTATAGATATGTTTGTTTCTATTTACGATATCTTATCAATATGTTTTTCAAAACATTGTGCCAAATTAGAATATTTTTTATTAAATGTCCGTAAACAATTTATTTACCTAAACAGTATTTTTAGGATTATTCTTTTATTATACTTTACTATATATATATAAATAAACACGCAAGCCGAGTCAAATATAGCAAATAGTCTTAAAATAAAAAATCTTAACAACGCAAAGGTTCAAGTTAATACACGTAGGAATACCATGAATAGAGACGTACACTTTTCGTAAAAACTTTTATAACCGCTCTAAGGGTAGATCCTACGTGTTTTTTCATAAACTTTCTTTTTCACACCTTTTCCCCTGTGGAGAACAAATATTTTGAGCATATTATTAGATTTTTCAAACATGCTTTCTTTTCCTACTTCCGTAACGTCTTTTTTGGATACAAAGTTTCAAAGTCCCTTTTGTAATAAAATAATAATAAAAAAGTATAAAAGTAAAGTGTATGTTTATATGTAGGTACCTATCGCTTTATGTACAATTTTGCCTAAATGTGTCTGATATTATAGCCATGCAGTGCTAGAATTTACTGGCAACATTTTGTATGAAGAAAGCATGATCACTTTAATATATACGTGTTTCAACGACAATGTGCACAAAAGACTTTGTTTTTACATACCTGCATACTATAATTTTTCTTGTTTTACAATAGAAACTAAAAAATAAACTTTTTTTGTTCAGTAAACTTGTGTTGTGTTTGACAAGACTTGGTCGCACGATTTATTTAATTATTACTAAGAAACAACAGGTGCAAAAAACTTGTAATTATAATGAGAATATATTAAATTAATAAAAAAAATATAAATTATAATTACTTTAAAAATTAGTACAATTATTATTATACAGTAACATGCTAAAATTAAATTTGCATAAAATATTTAATTTTTAAGTATTATTATATTATATTGCGGTTACTACATTACAAAGGTATACTTTAATGCTTTATATTAATTTTATATTAATTTCGGATTGGGTTAAGTCGGTTTTCCTGTAAAGAATTCCCCAGTACCTAGTAGTTTGGAGTTAGAATAGTTTGGACTTGATATACACCTATTCTGCATAGCACGTAAAGCCTTTATCTATTCTCTCACCGGTCGAGTCGAGTTGTCGTCCCTGGCGATATAGATCGATTGAACGATGCGTGTAGATAGTGAACACGTTTAATATATTTCACCATACTTTTTGCTCTAAATATCTGGTTCGTATAAAAAAATTTGAATGATAATTTCATATTTTACTTTCCGTTTATTATACTTAATATTATTGTTTTAAAAAACAATTATTGGTAAATGTAAATAAAACAAAAATAATAATAGGCGTAACCGGCTCGCACTTGGCTAGTTTTATTACATTTTTAGTTAGATTAGATACCGGACTTGTTTGAATGTGCATAGCCTCCTCAATCTCTTTCATTCGCTTCTATAATTGAATCTGTGACCCGAATCATTTTAATTACTACTTCAAGAATGCAGTTCAAATACATCTTATATCTACCTACAATTAATTTTACTACACTAAGATTTCACTTGCCTTACAACAAGACTTTCTAATTCGCAGAACTAGCGGTGATAGTAGGCGCGGGAAAAGTATCTACAATGTACATAGTACAGTATTTTCATAATTTTATATGGATAACTGCTTAGAATATTAATATTTCTAATCTAATATCACACATAAAAATTAATTATAACTTAAATTTAAAGCCAACTTCTTCTGTATATTTATCCTCATAAGTTCTGTTCTCTAAGTAAATAATAAATATATAGACATATATAACAAAGCTTTTTATAATTATAACCTATTTAAAAATTTACACAAGAATTGAAATCCAGATTGTACCTAATATAGCAAAATACACAAAAGTTATCAACAAAATCGCAACCTACCGATGGAATCATATAAATTATATAAAAACACCTTTGTATGAATAATTAAAAAGTAATATACCTTAATTGATATACAAGTTTTGCATGACAAGTTTCTTATCTTTTTAAGTGACACGTTCTCTATGACTTTTAAAAGATTGAAATCGAAATGTTTTATTCAATATTTGAATATAATGCATTAGAATAAATTAATTGGTTTGACGAACATTTAGCATAATGGAAATGTGACTGAATTTTCCGTTGGATTTAGGTTCAATATCAAATGAGAGACATCATATTAATATTATTAAGTATGAAAGCTTATGAGTGAGAGAGGTTACTTCTTCATGATGTGTTGTTAGTGAGATTGGGTACTTTATAAATTACTTTAATCGACATAGATAATAATTTCTTCTTTTAATATTCTAACAAATAATGTTTTCAACTCATTTCTATTTATTTAAGACTAGCGACTCACCCTTGCTTCGCTCGGATTCGTCCCGATGATTATTGATGAGAAATGATTCTCTAAATTGACATAACTTTTTTATTTATGAACCGATTGAAATATAACAAATACTAAATGTTAAGTGAAGCTTACCATAATACATTAGTGAAAACCGTACTCAAATCGGTTAAGTCGTTTCTGAGATTAGCGCGCACAGACAAACAGATAAAAATTCTAAAAGTCATTGTTATGGGTTGTATTGCGTTAATAAATAATAGTTTTTCTCAAATACCATACTTCCATGTACAGCTAGCGATCAGTTACAATTTTATCTATACATATATTATAAAGAGATAAAGTTTGTGAGTTTGTTAGATTGTGAGTTTGTGACGTTGTAGGGGGTAATCACTGGATCTACTAAACCCATTTAGATGTTTGGTAAGAAGATAGTTTGAGACCCTGGGAAGGACATAGGATACTTCTTATCCCGGAAATCAACCCTTAAGGGGATGAAAATGGGGATGAAATTTAGTATGGGTATCAAGCTAGGGACGAACCCGACCGAGGCGAGGGTGAGCTAGTATAATAGATTATATGAATCATTGTTTTGACTCATTGTGTAATTGAAGTAATTTTGTATACCTATTGTTTTAATTATATAAGTGTTTAATCAAATATTAAATTCTTTAATCTTATGCAATACGTGTAACACTTATAATTAAGATAAAATTTAGATTTTTTGTTGAAATACCAATAATATCGTGTGTTCGATAATGTATTGTATCTTATTGGCGTTAAAGATAATTAAATAAATAAATACATGTATCACGAGCAAAGCCACGGGCAAAAACTAGAATATCCTCCATATAGTTATATGGTTAAAACAAAACCCTGTCTTAAGGGATTTTATATTACTTTTTACCTTATACATATTGTAAATTAATATTTTATCAGAACATTTGCGAAATCCATGTAATATTTCAACATTAGTCACGAAGCGTAACACGAGTCCGTATAAGCTCTACAAAGCTTCAAGTGGAATCTCTTAATGGATATTAAATTACGAATTCTCATAAAATATTTGAGATAAATGATAAATAGCTAGTAATTTGCAAGTTTTATTTGGTCTGTATATAAATCTCGTCTTCTCTTTTGCGACATAGAAAGTAGTCAAGGAAACCTTGTGGGCTTTTCTTTTGGCCTACATTAAAATAGCGTGCGTTGCGACTGTATGAAAGTTCCCTAGCAGGAATCGAACCTGCGATCTTCTATATAATAAGCAGATCAGGCATTTAGAACTATTATAAAATGTATATTAGAAATGATTTGTCTCTAATTGAATTAAAATGTTCCCTATGCGGCGCACCTCGACATAATTTATGCAATATTATAGATCGAATTTTCGTGTCATACATACCGCGATAACACGGGAAAGGCTTGGTTGATTGCATCGAGATTGCTATCGTAATTAGTAGTCTGCAAATAACAATTAATATATGTACTCCTCATTAATTAGTATGCTGTAGGCATATACAATATATAATATAACAAATTCTATATTGACATATACATATAATATAACTGTAGAGGTTGAATGCAAACATAGAAAAAAAATGCTAATTATAAACCGACTTGGTTTAGGTTCTAGAGGGATATAAGAAGAGAAACAGAACGAATCCTGTTTTTTTTTTCAATTTTTTTGTTTTTCTGTCTGCTTGTCTGTTTGTACGGGCTAATCTCCGAAACTGGAAAACCGATTTAAATGAAATTTTGTATGGTGGTACCACCTTATATCCTCGGTCAACATTTTAGATATTTTTCATCTCGGAAAATTAAAGAGTTGCCTTGGGATAGTTAAAAAATTATAGTACCTTATACAGCATAGTACACAACAACTTATGCACCTAATTTAGTAAAATTTGGCATGCTGATAACTTATATTTCCGGTCAAAGAAGAGATAGATTTGTTTTTGGTTTTCTAGAGGCGTACCCGAGCGAAGCGAGGGTGAGCCCCCAGTAATAATGTATAACTCTTATTTCTCATAATATTTGTCGTTATAATGTTTTCGTTATCTTTAATTATTCGTAATGGAGTTTGCTTATATTCTCAGTTAATACATAAGATAATTTTAATCAACTAACAATGCCTTTATATTCAAATTTAAACAATATAATAACAATTTATTTCTTTTAATATAGATATCTCATCCGCAGCGGATGGAGTCATCTCAACGGTAAATGTAGTGGAGGCATTGCAAGAGTTTTGGCAAATGAAGGCGTCGAGAAATGGCGGTACAGGGAGCAGTGGTGCGCTCGTGATCTACGAGTCTGTGCCGGCCGCTCACCCCCCATACGTCTGCTATGTGACGTTGCCGGGCGGCGCCTGTTTTGGCAGTTTTCAGGTACTTTAATGTTTATCTATACATACAATAAAATTCTAACTAAGCCGAATCTGTACATTAAATATTTTTTGGGAAATCTTATTGAAATAGACATTATTATCGATACAGAGGCCGAATCTCTAGATTTTAGAATTTTTGTCTGTCTGTCTATCTTTTATTTTGATTGAGGGATTTTAATGAAATTTAGTATGATGATAGCTGGTTATCCGGGTCAACATATAGGATACTTTTTACTGCGGGAAAATATCTTATTTCTGAGAAATCGATACTAAACTTTAAAACGTAAGTAGAGACGAACCCGAGCGAAGCAAGTGTGAGTCGCTAGTTTATTATGAAACTTAAACAGAATTTGATCCTTTTTGCAATTAGTCATACATTACTAGTCTACCAGAAAATAAACATCAGTATATATTTTTTACGAAATAATACTAACGTAATTTTACGTTTTTGAAAAAATAAAATGGCTGTCCAAATGTCCAAAAAAATTCGTCCCATAATCGAATGAATAAAAAATATATTATTCGCCCGACTATTATCGGTTTGTACGAATATTTACCACTTTTTTGTTTTCTAATGCAAAACAAGTGATTTTTAGGTGCAGGAGTTTCTATATGCAAAAAAAAAGAATAGAAGTTCGAAATAAATTATATTGCATATTACACTGTGTAAATTATGAATCAATTGTATAGATTTTCTTGCTTTTAAACGTAATAAATAATAATACTTTAATAATTTCATATAGAATAGTCCTACAAAAGCTGAGGCTCGCCGCAGCGCTGCAAAAATCGCGCTCATGAACAGTGTATTCAACGAGCATGAGTCGCGGCGCATATCAGAGCACTTTATCGAGAAAGCGGTGGCGGAAGCACGCGCGTCCTTCGCCGGGGATGCTGCGACACATAAACAAGACCCTAATGCCGGAATTGCCGCCTTTAGGTATATTACTTTCACTTACCTGCATACTGGTACTTACCTTCACGCTATTTCCCTTGCGAGATAGTCAGAGGGATTAGAGTGCCAAGCACTTGGATCTTAGTATATCATTTCTGTTTCTTAAAGAATTAATTAATATTTTTTTATATATTTCAGAAATATGATAATATTTGGAGTAATATTTTACTATAACAAAATTAGCAACATCCCCGTTTTTCGCTCGTTTGCATTTCTTGTCCTAAGTACTTAACGACGGCCTATATAATATATTTATTGTATTACTCCAGGTCATAGTCTATCTCTATACTATATATTATCCAAATCCATCCAGCCATTTCAGGGCGAAGCAGTAAAAAACATATTTACATACACACACGAATACAAACTTTCGCAATTATAATTACTAAACAGTTTATTTTGTCCGTAGATTTATGCTGGAAGCAAACAAAGATCGCACCATGTTAGAGTTCCAAGAACTGATGACAGTATTCCAGCTTTTGCATTGGAATGGATCGCTCAGAGCGATGCGGGAGCGACAGTGTTCGAGGCAGGAGGTCGTCGCGCACTACTCGGCACGAGCTTTGGACGATGCGATGCGTGAGCAGATGGCGCGTGAGTGGGCTTCGCGAGAGCGGGAGGCTGTGGCCAAGGGAGGAGGGGTTCTTCGCAACGAGCTCGCGCGAGCGGAGCGTGAACTTCGAGCAGCGAGGGTCGCGGCTCGCGAATTACGCTTCCCCAAGGAGAAACGCGATATCCTCCTCTTGGCCCTCCGCCTCGCCCCCCCGCAGCAGCAACAGTGATCTCACCACGCGACTATTTGTTATTTAAGTATAGTTTTATAGTGTAAGAACATTTGTGTTTTATTTCTTTTCCCTATCATATTTTTCTTTAGTAGAATCTAAAAACCGAAAATACATGAATGAAGTAACATAATATCAAGCATAATGCTTAAAAATATTATTGTAATATGCTGTCTTCCATATTTATATGTATACATTCAGATTTTACTACATATTCTAAGACTTGTCATAGTAACTTTTAAAAAATCTTCACGTTTGTTAATATCATTGAAATAGAAACAGCGATCCGGATGAGCGTCAATTAGCGAACTTTCCAAGCACTTTGCAATCCGAAGCATAACATGACGCTGTAGCTTTTATAAGTGTTTATTTTTATGAAACTAATCATAAATAAAATGTGTTTTTTTTATAATTGTTGTTTTATTGAAATATAAATAATGAAAACGAGCAATTTTAAGAATTTAGTTATCTGTAATTTAATTCAATTTGTAGTTTTTATAAAGATGTTTTTTGGAAGCTAAGTGCATGAAAAAGTTATCTCATCAGGTAAAAACCTGAAAGAAATTCTTTGTAGAAATTATTGAGAGAAAAGTATTTTTATGTATATATGAATTATGTATAAATCATTAGAAATAGGAACACTTGGTAATACGGCGAAGGAAAATTCTTGTAAAGAAATCTACATGTCTGAGAACTAGTTTTCAAAAGACGTGTGAAATCGCCAACCCGCTTTCATTGTGGTGGACTATGAGGCTTCATTCTACTTACATTGACTGGGACTATAAAAGTGCTGAATTGTAAATCTATATAATATTTTATTTCAATCATTTGACTAGATTATGAGATATAAATCTATACATCCGTTATAAATCTATGCAAAATCTGTTGCCAATTTTTTTTCATCATTGATGCTATACCGTTTTTTTTGTTTACTACCTATTGTCGATAGCTCGACAATAGGTAATAAACAAAAAAAACGGTCGACTAACAGAGAATAAAAATATACCGAACTTTTTCGACTTTGCCTATTTATGTAAAGATTAAGCGGGTATGCTTGATAACCATAATCCAATATTATTTGCCAAATTATGATGAACAAAATCTTTTTCAATTAAAACTTTTTTAGTATTTGGCTTTAGATATTATTCTTCTCTTTCTCTCTTTTGTTCTTCATTAACTATTTAAGAAAAATCAAAAATCAGTTTTCACGTCATAGTATGTGTAGGACAATATGTTGTTTGTATGTCTGTCGTTAAATATAATGTCCCTAGTATGTTATAACCATATTACTTTTTTCCCATAAGCCTGTGTGTACTCATTCGATTAAAAATAAAAAAGGAGTAGCAATCCATATATGGGATTGAGATAAAATATATTATTATGGATTTAAATATTTTCCGTTGATACAATAATCAGTTATTTACAAGCTTTTATTCTACTTGCAATATTTGTTAGTTGACATGTTTGTATGTGTCAAGTCTTGCAAGCTGTATTAGAACCACTACCTCTTATCCTACAGATTCAGTTCCGATAAAAATGACTTTTCATGATAAATATTATACTTGTAATGTTTGTCAATTGGTATATTTGGCTTTTGGATTGTTTGTAAAACTTGCAATCTGAATTGAAATTACTTATGCTACAAAATTGAAATTTTTATTATAATTATGACCCAAATTTTCATCTATGATTGGCTTCAAAAGAGGCAACTCCTTAACGGTCAACAGCATAGACTCGAAATTTTATATATTCATTCATTTACTTTTAAGTATATTAGGCAGAATTAGGCCAATCGGAATCCGTTTATTTTTGAGAGAAAAAAATATATTGAAAACCTGAAGTTTTATATTTTAAAATATTAGCAGGTATATCAGGAATAGAAATTCGTAAAATGCTCCCGGCGCCCAGCTACACCCGAGAAATAGAGGGACGCAAAGCGTTGAAAAATAGTTTTTTTTTTCAATTTCCGGCTTACTGTGACGTTCTATCGAAAAATATTTTTTACTAAAGTTGTAGGTCTAGTAAAAATCAACAACTTTTTTTATACACAACACTTTTTACAATAATCACAAAGTTTTCGAGATATTTGCAAAAAACTCGGTTTTTAACTTTTTCTTGGTTTTTTATTTTTAATTTCAGAATAATCTTTTGATTTTCATGAAACTAAGGGAATGTAATCTTCGAAATACATATAATAAATAAAAAAAAATGAAATCGAAATGTTTAGCCATTTCCAAGAAAAGTATGTTTTATGGTCTCGAGAGGTTGAAAATCACCCCCAAGTTCAAGTGGACGAATTGAAAAAAATATTTCATTCAATTTTCAGATAGGGCTCGTTCTTTTCATCTTAAACTCTACTTTTTGAAAAAATAAAAACATTGTATGGTCGTCCTGTAACAACACACTTAAAATTGTAAAAAATTGTGAAATCGATAATTTTTACTTTGTAAACTACATTTTTTTCAATTATCATTGAAGAAGTGTACTTTATTGACCAAATTTTTATATTTTTTTCTTATATTTTTATAATTTATTATTATTGTCACTTTGTCAACAAACAATAACTTGTGAATCCTAGGAGCTAAGACGAGATGACATTCTACAGTGTTCTACAATGTCACTCTCTTTTTTAAATTCCTAATTTATAATAATTAGAACGACCCTTGATTAACCCTTAATTCTCTGAAATTCCTTCCCAAAATTTTCCGGCCTAGAAATACACAATATCCCAAAACCGAAATCCCGGGATCATATCCTCTAAGCCATATTTAGCCAACATAATGGAATGTTCACGCGTAATCCGCAGACTAGTTATAAAGTAATACATTTATCGCATTTATCCTGCTTCTTATCCTATATTGAAGTGCATAAACAATAAATAAACTTAAATTGGTAAAGTTACGGCTTAGGTTCGACAAGCGCAATGCGGCTATCATTCTGCGAGCTTATCGCGAATATCTATTCACTATTCCTAAACACCATCTGCGGAACAATAAATCGTTAGCACGTAAATTTATCTGGAAGCCTTCGTGCAACGCCTGGCTTTACCTTGCAATGTTATCTGGACGAAAGAACACGAGATTACAATTGTTATTTATTTTAAAAGCACGCCTGTTGTATGCGGACACACTGTATTAGTTGTATTAAATGAAAATACTTAAATTATATTATTCACATAAATCTATGATTTCAAACTTAAATAATAATTATCTACACTTATTTTTCTTAAAAACGTATCTATACATATAATAAAATTGTAACTAAGGCGAATCTGTACATTAAATATATTTTGGAAAATCTTATTGAAACAAACATTATTATCGATACAGAGGCCGAATCTATAGTTTTTAGAATTTTTGTCTGTCTGTTTGTTACCGCATCACAGAAAAACCACTGGAGAGACTTTGATGAAATTTGGTATGGTGATAGTTGGTTATCCGGGTCAAATAATCAAAAATCGAAAATATCTCATTTCTGAGAAAAATACAAAAACTGCAATGTAAGAGTATACTCTTATGTATATATACTAATATGTGAAACCTAAGAATATGGTTTTTGGTCTGAACGCGGGCGGAGCTGTGGGCAATGCTTGTCTTTTATAAAAAACGACTGGCGCAGACGGTAGCCAATATTCACTTACGTGTATATCGAAATTGATGTTTAAACTGGCCATGTTATTAGTAACACTCAAGCTCTTTCATGTTCTTTAATATTAATATTATATGAAGTATATATCATTATCATTTAATTCGTTATAATTTAAAAGTTAGAGTTTTATTTGAGGTACTGTATAATAAGCTTTATAAATTGATGATGTCAGGTTAAAGTTTCTTTAAGTAATGTGTAATAACAAATAACACCTAAACAAAGAAAGACGAGGCGGGGCGCAATTAAATAATTATATAGACTAGGGTTCACCTAGTGGTCGAAATTCGACTGTAGTCACTCTTGCAATTCATGGAAAATATATACAAATAGAATTTACGTAACTATATAAAAAAAAAATCCAATTTTTTTTTATAGATAACACAACAGCTCGTCAAAAGCTACTTAATAAAATAAAGAAAAGAAAATCGGTTAACAAGCAAAAGAGAAAACGATACTAAACTGTTTTGTTTTTATCAATTTATATATGGACTAGCGACTCACCCTCGCTTCGTTCGGGTTCGTCCCTAGTTTGATTCCCGATACAAACTTTCATCCCCATTTTCATCCCTTTAAGGGATGATTTCCAAGATAAAAAGTATTCTTCGTCCTTTCCAAGGTCTACAACTATCTTCCTACCAAATTTCATCTACATTGGTTCAGTAGATCCAGAGATTACCCCCTACCTCACAAACTCCCAATTCACAAACTTTACCTCTTTATTATATTAGTATAGATAAACATCATGTATACACCTAAACATTATTACTTAACTATTCGATGAAATATGCATATGTATATTACTATATTATTTATCAACATAACGTTCTAATTTACAATTCCATATCCACCCTTCAAGCTTTCGGAAATTGAGCATTGAGATTGTTTAGCTAGACGCATTAGCACAAAGGATGGGCAATATTGGAAACTATCGATCTATTATGACCTCATTAGTGCTGTAATCAAACTCACTGTTGGCATGTTTATAAAGCTCTTCATTACATCCATACTAATATTATAAATGTGAAAGTGTGTTTGTTTGTCCTTCTTTCACGTCGAAACGGAGTGTCGGTTTGATGTGATTTTTTGTTTTGAGATAGTTGGAGGGCTGGAAACGAAGACTAGTTTTTACTGCAGGAGAATATCTAATTTCCTCGCGAAAACACGTTATAATACAATCCAAAAAATTATTTATGATCAGAATTACTTGAAACTTACTGTTATTTGCTCTTTAATAAAATTAAATAAAATGAAATCATCCTATAAGGGGGTAAAATAGAGGATGAAAATTTGTATGAAACTACCTTTTTAGAGATTTTTTGTAGTTTCAGCGTGAGCGAAGCCGCGGGTTC